TAAACTGATGATCTATAATCCGGAATCGCCGAAGTCTCGACGAGTCCGGATTAACGACTTTTGACTGTATTCACTGTAATCCGAATTAAAATTTTCAAAAGAAACTAAATTTTAGTTGAGTAAAATAAAAATTACTTCTAAGAAAATAGTACACAAAATTATTTTAATGCGTAAGTGATAGATTTTTCCCCCCAATATATAATTCTTTTTTTGTAAGATTTTAAAGTTATGCGACGCGATGCGTATTTTAGTTTTTTCTGAAGTTCCCCGTTTGATATATGTGCCTATGCTCAGACCTTTAGTTCTTGAACTCTGACAGCTGTCGCTGGACGACAGTTGAACAACTATTATCACTATTAACAGCTGAACAACTATAGAAATTTTTAGAATGATTGAAAGTTTTTCAGAGTATGTAATAGGGATGGATTCCAAAGCTGAACGTACTTCACAGAAAGATAAACGATACAATTCGTTGCTGCAGAAAAATGTCTGAAGTGAAAAGGCCAAAAAACATCTTCAGACATCCATTTAAATCTTTAGACAATAAAAGGAAATTACGATAAATATGCATTTTAAAAAAATATTCATAATAAAGACAACTGCATTTATAAACAGCTTTTTATTTTTTGAAAAACAGGAAGTAAAAACAACTTTGTTTTTTGGAACCTATTATCATTTTTTGTATGCATCATCAATTTATCAGTTAATCCGATTTCAAACAATATGGGATAACGGTGGAAAAGATTCGCCAGACTACGAAAGGTATTGCTGTATCTCAGTTTTAAAAGAATTTGACGGAAAAATTTTTGTTTTTAATTTTAAATTACAGTTTACTTTTAATCAATCTCAAATCCATATAAATTTTATAGTACCACTGTAGGCTGATTTCGTGCTTGAGATAGTAGACCAAAACTAAAGACATTTTTTTCTTTCATATTAAATTACAATTTATTTTACACATGATCAAATTCATATAAATTGCATTTCACCATTGTTCACCTGCTCTATCGAAGAAAGAAGTGCTGTCCATTAATACGCCAAGTTTAGCAAGTTATCGTCAAATGTGCAGCCAACTAACAAAACTGGACATTCGGAGAGAGTTGTACACATGGCTAACTTGGAAAAGAGGAAAATTGTGAAATTCAGGTCAAAGTTGCTAAGCGTCCGGTTACTCGCGCTTGTTTTCTTAAGTGTGTGTGTGTGTGGGGGGGGGAGAATTTCGTCCACTATTTTCACAACTGCCATCGACTGAAAGTGGACACCACCAACATGATTATGAGCCAGTTTCCATCAAAAAGTACGTATACCTACCTCCGTTATAGGCGCATAACTAGTGGAATAATCTGCTAAAGATTTGGAATAAGTAATAATTGCAATGCAACTAGTCGAAAAGAACAATTAAATGCAATTATCATATTATCAGACAAGGTTGGTTTGGTTTGACTGATTACGGGAAAGCACTCAAATGCTATCTGCTAAGGGCAAGGATGCCTTAATGAGAACTTTCTAAGGGAAACTGGCTAATATCCACATTATACATCGAACTGCTTCAAAAATTTAAACCACTGGCCTCATTTTGTTAAAATGTTATAAGGGCATTTATCACTCAGAGTAGAATATCAAAAGTCACATTTAAAGATTTTAAATCTTAAATAAGCAGCTCAAGTATTGTTCTTCAGTCTTTACTTGCATTTCGGGTATAATCTACTGTAAAAATCTTCCGCAAAGGTATTTATCATAAATCAGATCACGTATTTTCCTATAATCACTTCAACAACCTCTGACCATTACATTAGTTACATAAAAAATGCAAAATTAATGTGGATCAGCATTAATTTAAGTAAGTAATCAAGCAATTTTATGAAAACTTTCCCATCTTACAAACAAAACTAATCAGTTCTAAACAGTTATTATCTATAGTTAGTTTACTTTGTTTATATTATACAATATTTAACAGTACTACTCTTTTTTTTTTTTAAACTCCGTAATCCCCTGCTACTATCTGGTCTGTATACTGTTTATTCTTCATATACTACCTCTAATCATACAAAAGACAAAGACACACTCAAATATACCTCTAATCATGCATTTCGACTAATAAATGATAAATAAAATGTTTATTTTGAAATTTCTACTTTATTGCAAGCAAAAGAAAAACTTTGACGATTAAACAGGGGAAAAAAAAAACATACAGTTTTATTATATGGATTTGTGAGGGTGAGGATTGAGGAGAAAGTGATTTTGTACCAAGTAATGGTGTTAGAAACATACTTTATTAAATACCAACTATTCTGTAAATTTCTATAAAAATCACTAATATGATAGAACATAAAATGTGTATAAAATTGTACCAATTAGTTAAATTATTAAGTGTAAAATAGAGGTTTCAGTTATTAAGAAGCATATTATTTAAATTACTCCGTTCAAACTATAACAAACTGACTAAATTTAAAAGATCTTATGTCTTGCAGAATGGAAACGTTCTGGCAGCTCGTTACACGACATAAATTAAGTCAATGCAAGTCTCCTTTGCGAAAAGCAACACTTCTCAAGGAGAGCTTATGATATACGATTGATATACACATACAGCCGTAACAAAGTACAACGCTGCCAAAAAATTTTAAAAAGACCTAATGAGGATGTTTCTAACGTCACTAAATAGAAACAAAATAGTAAATCTTTTCTTTATATGTGCAAAATCTGAACGCAATAGCTTCAGAAAGCAGTTTCAAAATCGATGAGAAACTTCAGACCATGGCGATAACCACTATGAGTAAGATAAATAGCTTGTACAGAGATACCTCTCACAAAAGTATTAAAACTTTACAAAAATTTAATAATATTTTGTACTGTCATTTGACTTCAGATTGCATTTCATTTACAAAATTAATTCTTTATATTTCATTGCAATGTGTGTAAGCACATAATTAATTATCAGTTTTTTTTTTTTTTTTTTCATTTTCAAAATAATTTGTTAATTATGAGAAAAAAATCAACTTTATCTTGTGCTGATAATACATGGGACAATGAGTCACTTGAAATGCAGCGACTGACAGGCTTTATTACAAAATATTTTATACAAGAATAGGAAAACGCATGCGGTTTGTTTTTTAAATTAAAGATAAAATAATTTTTTAATATATTAAATTTTTGAAATATTAATAACTTTCATGTAAATAACACAATAGTAGTGTTTTTCTTTCTTTTCTTTTTTTTTTTTTTATGAATCTTAGTAACTTTAGGACTATGGTAAAATATTTCTTTTATTTTTTCTTTAATTTTGCAGATTTGCAATGAATTTAAGCAATCAAACAAAATACCTGATTAGTTGCGAGCTTTATTCCAGGCATGGCAGATGGACCGTCCGAATTTCCTTATGTGATGTAAATATGGGAATTTCCCTAAACAGGTCCTTTAAAAATAAACTCCTCTCAATAAGAGCATTTTTGTGCTGCTGTCATCTATATCTAAGTAATAAAGTTTTGAAGTTTCCCAGCCCAGCAACATTTGTAGTGCATTTTCTTTGCAAATTTTTCATTAAGTTTCAAATATTAGCTATCAAAACTGTTTGTTTAAACAATTAGAGAAAAGCACAAGACAGCTCTCTTGATTATCAACAAGTTCCAGCACCTTCCACTTCAGTAGTTAGCAAATTCTGTAAATGCGTGCTGAAATGTATTACAGTCAAAAGTCGTTAATCCGGACTCGTCGGGACTTCGGCGACTCCGGATTATAGATCATCAGTTTAAATTTGGTAAGATGGCATGCAGAAATTATAAAATTAAAAATATGAAACAGTAATTTATGAAATAAAGAACAATTCTAAAGGGTATCAAAATTTACAAAAAAAAAAAAAAAAAAAAAAAAAAAAAAAGCTTAATATTTATTTGTTTTACTTTATTAAACATTTCTTTCAATGTAAGTTGTTTAAGTTGCTTCGTTTTTTATGTGATAATACATTCTCTTTAATTCTATAAACAGACATAATTTCTTGTTCAGTTACAAAGTTCCGCTTTTCAAGTCCTATAATTGCTGTGTCGAGAATACCGACTAATTTGTCAATCGAAATTTTTTCGTTTTCAATAACCTCTGTTACTTTCTTCGCTATCGGAAGCGAATTATAATGACGAGGAATTTGATTTAAATCATATCAAAGACGGAGTACATCGAGATGAAATACTACATTTAGTAAGGAATTATAAGCCAAATAAAATAAAAACATCTGCCCTGAAGATAAGGATAGTGCTGACAGATCAACTTCCAATTCATTGCGGGCCGCGGCGTTAAAGATAAACAAAGTTTAGATAAACAAACGTTAAAGTTTAGATAAACAAAGGATATGCCTTTATCCATTTTTTTTGCAGCAATTCCACTTTTTGTTTAATGGACTTCGAAACATACTTTCGCTTTGTAGATCCTTTACATATTAGTAAATATATATCAGAAATTCTATTTGACATAATCGCAAGTTCAAGCTTACTTTTATAAAGTTGCTCTAACAGTCTGCAAAAAATAATAAGCCGATTCCAATTCGAAGATTAAGGAACAGCGCAATCTGCAACATTAACTGAATTAGATAATTTTAGCTTAGCTTATACCGTCCGTTATACATTAAACGCGCATTCGTAAACGTATTTTGCGCACGCGCACAAGTGTATTCGCAGCCGTAAAGGTCTTACGCGCATGCGTCAACGCGACGCATGCGCAGAAAGTTAGTAGCTTTGAAGTCCGGATTATAGATCATTCCGGATTATGGGTGTCCGAATTAACGACTTTTGACTGCATTTCAAATTAACGTAACTAAATAAGACGAAAGGAAAGCAATGTGAACATTACACTTGAATTTAATTACTTATTAAGTAAAACGAAATATAGATTTTTTAAAATTCTTTCTAGAATGTTTTTAGATCTTGCTTACCTCCATTATGTTCGAATTCTGAAAATCCTTCACAGAAAGGTGTTGATGAAACTGATAGATTAAAGTAAAACAGGACAAGAAGGAGTTTATTGAAACATTTAATTTTCTTAAATATTACTCATTCAAAATTATTCTATGATTAACTATACGTCATCTGTAGGCAATGGATACTAATTCTAATAGACAATTCCTGATAAATTTACTTTGCACTTCTTTGGTAGAATAATTAACCCAAGTTTTGATTGATTCTTTGACTGCTGGAGTAAAAGGAAGAACCAATAATACATTTCTGTAAAAAATTAAAATCTTGCTCTTCTAATATTTGAGGCTCTAAAGAAATATTTTCAATAGAACCTTTAAAAATGATGAATTTAACTGTTATCTGAGATGGCAATTTTTCTTTGCCATATTGAGGAGATGGAAGACACATAGGAAATGTTTTAGTGACAGTAAAACGAGGCGTATGGCCAAAACACCACTCCCAGCTCATAAGATCCTTTTTAATCAAAGTTATTCCAGAACATGTATCTTCGTTTGGGATAACATGAAAGACATTTTCATTTTGTACCTAAACAGAAAAAAATACAGAAATATATTAATAGAAACAAATTAAAAAGGAATATATTTCTATGGAAATTTGATATAAATTTGTTAACACGAATATCTGAATACTTCACAGAAATTGTAGTTTTAAAATCTTTTTCCCTCCATAATTATTCGTTTAATTTCTTACATTACTGGTATAGTTAATGTAAATAGAACAAATATAAACTATGATATATTATATAAAATTTCATAATTGAATCTACAATCACATCCAACAGAAATTTCGAAGTTCCTCATATGCTATAAAATTTTAGAAATAATTAGTGTCAGATACATAAAAAATATCAAGTTACAAAAACATAATAAAATAAGGCAAAACACTGAGAAATATTAGAAAAGAAAGCCTTTTATTATTCTGCATAATTTATACTCACTTATAGTAAAAAAATAATTCAGCACAAAGCTTATTTAAAATATAAACTTTAAATTTTAATACAAATCTAATATTATTTACAAGCACAGCTTGAATTTAAAAGACCCTAAGAAATGTCTTTCTTCACAGCCCTATGGCTATTTTTCCATTATACCTGGTGAACGTTAAAGTACACTTACAATTAGAATTTTCACTACATCCTTTCTTAAATTAGCTTAAACATAAAAAGTAAAGCTTGCATAACCTTGTTAGTAATAAAGTAAAACTTAACATATAATAACAACTTATATTTAAAAACTTATTTGTTAAATGTATTTGATTGACCAACAACGCAATTTTCAAATAGCAAACACCACGAAGGAAGAAGTCACTACCTTTCTTAACTTTTTTCTCCATCCCCTATTTATTCCTTTCTCAGTTTGACAATGCTGAGAACAAATAACTCAAGTTTTGGTATGCAGAAAGTCCCTATCATTGTTAAAACCATATCTGTTCCGAATAATTTGAGTTTATTAAGAGGCAAAGCTTAACAGATGGTAATTTATGATTTCAAATTATGATGTCAGCATTATACTTATCTAGTAAGCTTATAACTTTCATATCAAATTATTCTTACATAACTCTAGACTATACAACTCAAAAATGGTTGATAATTGATTCGACTGAAGTTGTCATGTTGATAATTTCTTCTGTATTACTTTCGCTGTTAATTGCAGCTTCCGCAACTCTCCGGACATTCTCTAGGATACAGTAATCAGGTCTTTACATATTGTTTTAACATGATTCTGAATTTCAAGATATTCAAAAATGAATCTTCCTAATTACCCTCAATGATATTTGTCACTTGCCATTCCTTTGGAGGATTCCTCTAACTAAAATCATTTGCTAAAGCAATTGTTAATTGTGTTTTGAATGACTGGTAAGTCATTCAAAACCCAATTGCATTGACTATAATATGCATGCATTGACTATAATATGCATGCATCGACTATACTGCATGCACTATAGCTATAATATGCTATGCATTGACTATAATGCATAGCATATTATAGCATTGACTATAGCTATAATATGCTATGTATTGACTATACTATATGCATGCACTGACTATACTATATGCATACATTGACTATACTATATTATTGACCATGCATTGACTATAATATACATGGCATCTTATAATGCATGTGGATCAATATATTGATAAGATGTCAATTTAATTATGTTCTTCGAAGTACTTGCATTTTATTTATTTATTATTATTATTTTGTTTTTGTTTATCACATTTCAAATATCTTTTGCTGCCTTTTTTTCAATTTTTTATTTTTTCATTAATACTATTTTAAAAGAAAAATCTCTAAAGATATTGCTTGTCATCTGTGAATTTTTGTTGTTACGGTAAATGACAGACAAATTCTTGATTCTTTTCAAACATTGAGATCTTTTGTTTTTGCCAAGAACCAGAGGAGTTTTCTTAATATTGTTTCCATATTATACGTTAATAACACACTAAATTGTTACCTTAGTTTTATAAAGCAGTTGTTATTTAACTTTTAAGCATTAATGTGTAAACATTGGATTGAATTATTTAATTCAGGCAAAGCACACGAGGGTTATCTGCCTAAGCTTCATCACAGTTTTGATCAAGAGCTTTCCAAGGAATAACGTGTGTTCTCGTAATGGCTTAAGACAGATAGGTTTCGTCTGTATCATAAATTTGATGTAGCTTGCATTCCTTTAGCAACTTTGACCAAATGTTCTTTATTCATTTATACTGAATATTGATTTATATTTTGCTTCTCATTATATAGTTTACGATGAAAATGATATTTTTATATCTTGTGAGCTATTCCTCAAATGAAAGAAACTCTTCACCCAGCATTTTATCGAATTATAATTTTCAAAATGAGCAGCAGCAGAAATAATTTTTGCAAAATGAAAAACAGTCACACAGAAATAATTCTACAAAAAATAACTATTTTATAACATTGTTTGCACGTAACAATATAGATAACCTTAAAATTTATCTCAATTTCAATTCTACCTCATAATACTCACTTAAATTAGTACATCTTGCTTGTTTTACAGAATACGTAATTAATATTTTTTTTTTAATTCGCTACTTCGAACTATGTGCATATAATTTAAAAAAAGGTTATTTTTTTCTAAAAATGTTTTTTTTTTTTTTTTTTTTTTTTTTTTTTGTACCATTCTGTTTTCTGTAAACTTTTTTTATGCTAACCTTTTTAATTACACTTTGTAAAATCAACTAAAGACCTTTGAATCCCTTTATGTGATTAAAATACATTGGGTTGGAAAGAAATTAATTTCAACTTGTATACACAAACAGTGTTCTGTTCGTTTTGTTCCTTTTCTGTCAATCTTATAATTTTTTTTTTTTTTTTTTTAAAGATTTGGCAGATTGCATTTTTAGGTTGCTACAGAAACAAATTTCATGATTTTGCTTACAATTGTTAGTTTACAGTCAGTTTTAACATGAGGCGCAAAAATAAACATTTTCAATACATTTTACTTCTTTATTTCCATAAAAGAAAGAAAGCAGCCAAAGCTCACAAAGACAGATATGTGAAGTTTACGATGTTGACTGCGTAAAAGAATGCATTGTCAGAATTAGTTTAGAAAATTTTGTTCTGGAGATCTTTCACTTAAAGGTGACCAACATTCTGGCCGATCTTCTGCAGTTGATGATGACAACATTAAAGCCATAACTGTATCGAATCGTCATATAACTGTGGGAGATTGCAAAAAGGTTAAATATATCGTACACAATTACTGAAAATTATAAGATTACATAAAATGTCTTGGACTTGTTATGAAGCTTGATATTTGCGTTCCCCATGAATTGAAAGAAATTCACTTAACACGATGAATCAGTACTTGCAATACGCATTGATCTTTTCTTGAAATGAATTGGTGAAGAATACTACTGATGGTGAAGAATGGATCATCTGTAATAACATGAATCGAAGAGGATCATGGTCCAAGCCTGATGAATCAGTACAGTTCATACCGAAAGCTAAACTGCATCAGAAACAAATCAAGCTGTCAATTTGGTGAGATTACAAAGGTGTATATTTTGAGCTGCTTCCAAGCAACCAAACAATTAACTCAGATGTTCACTGCCAACAACTTATGAAATCGGAGGAAGCAATCAAAAGAAAATGCCATAACTGGCAAATCACCAAGTAATCCTGTTCCACCATGACAATGTGAGGCCTCACACTCCTTTAACAACATGTACAAAATTATTGGACCTTGGCTAGGAAGTGATTTGGCCTCCCCATATAGCCCCGGGCTTGCACAATCGGATTATTATTTGTTTTAAAGTATAAAAAACTTCTTAAATGGTAAAAATTGCAGTAATAATGATGACCTCAAATTGTACTTGGTAGAGTTTTCTGCTGATAAAGACCAGAAATTCTATGAGTATGGAATCATGAAGTTACCAGATTCCATGCTCATAGAACTTCTGGTCAAAATGGCAAAAGACTATTGAACAGAATGGAAGATATTTGAAGTTCATTTTTTATATATAATTTTTTTTATAATATATATAGTATATATAATTTTTTATATATATATAAATATTGAATGATCTAAAATTCACTGTGTTCAAAAACAAGTTTTTCTAATACTTGCACAATAGCTGCAAAGTAAGATAATAATAATTTCTTTACTAAAGAAATATTGATTATATTATCGGCTAATCTTTGGAATATGGTAACAGGTAGTTTGGCGACATTTTGGTAAGGCGATAAAGGTTACTAGCTGGGACTTTAGCAGTGTACATTGATAAAGTCAAGAGTGTGCGCAATGCCATTTTTGTGCAATTCTGGGATGTTTTTTTTAAGTGAACATGGATACCGTGTGCATGGATACCGTGTATGTGCAATTCTTAAAAACGCGGCAAGCAGTTTGCAATTCTGCCCTTTTCCCCAATTTCGCACCTAATCTTCGTCATGATTAAGCACTTTTGTGCCATAAAAGTTCTAGCATAAGCGTAAATCGGCTAGCAGATTGTTGGGAAAAAAATGTTGAGTGAAAAAAAAAAACATGCCTTTACTTCGTGAAAACAAGGCGTCCAAACAAAAACTAGTAGGTTGTTGTAGCAGGGTTGGTCGCCAAATTTTCGCCAAAAATCGCTGAGTTACCATAATCCAAATATTAACCATATTATCTCCTAATATAAATTTCGTAGAATGTATCAAAAAAGACAGAACCCATATGTAGGAAGTTTAAAGTAACTTGAATGCAAATCATGAATAACAAAATTTCAAACTTTGAAAAAGAAATTAATAATTAAAAACAAGTAATTATTGCTATTGATCGGAAATTAGTTGACTTTTCGAGGGGAACAAACCAACTCCTGTTCAATGAACAATAATTAATAAATGCGAAGGTGTTTCGTCTTTTACTCAAGTAAGAATGATAATGCCAAACTGGCAAATTAAGTTAGGTCAAAATTGTAGTTCTGTGAAGTGATGGGATTTATAACCAAAGTAGACCGGATCAAAGAACTCATTCTGAATGAAGCATTTTCGCTAATACAAGATTCTTTAGAAATTTTG